ACCGTCTGACTGGCAAACCACTGCAAGAAGTCGACGCCCAGAAGGACTTGGGTGTATGAATCACAACCTCGCTTAAGCCTTCGCTGCAATGTTCAAAGGTGGCCAAGTCGGCGATGTCCATGCTATACCTTGTCAAACGGGCGTTCTCCTCCTTTGATGAAGACTGCTTCGCCGAGGTCTTTCAAACTTTTGTGTGACCGCATCTGGAGTTTGCTATCCAAGCATGGCGACCCTGGACCGCTAAATACTTGGGCATACTCGAAAAAATTCAACGGCGAGCAACGAAACTTGTATCTGGGCAGTGGTCACTACCCTACGAAACGCGATTAGCTAATGTTGACCTCTTTCCGTTGAGTTACAGACAGCTACGTGGGGACCAGATACAAGCTTTCCGCATTGTGCGCAATTAGGGCTGCTGCCTCGCATCAGGAGACTTCTTCGAGTTGGCGACTACGACTAACCTGAGAGGCCATCCACTCAAACTGCGTGTGGCTGGTGCCCGGCTAGACACTCGAAAGTTCTTCTTCTCCAACAGAGTAGTTGCAGCTTGGAATGCCTTGCCTGAGGATGTTGTTATGTCAGGCTCGGTGGATACTTTTAAAAGAAGACTAGATCAGCATTGTAGCGCGCACCACAATAAAGCCGGACTACGGCCACCTTGACAGCCAACGCTGACAATTTAGTGTTATAACGATGTTACTACCAACGCTTAAGTAATATATGTTTATGCAATTTATTAAGCTTGGGCCACGTCGCACACCGCTGTTCGCATCCACCACGATGCCTGTAGACTAAACAATTTTACTTCTTTTCCTGTATCTTAAGTGTGCCTCAACTGTCCGCTGTATTTTGATCAACAAAGCAAGTTAATGTGCCTCTAAACTATGTTAACACATGACATTCTGTGTTCATCTGTACAGTTTTTGCTATTCCCCTCGCACTTCTTTCATGTTACTTCCTTTCCATTTCCTCCATATATATCCTCTGCATGTAACCAATAGGGATTTCAAAGGTACACACCTACTTTCCCTGAAATTTACTGATACTGATACTACTGATACTGGATCTGCCGCTTCGGATCGCCCTTCTTTGTCCACTCGTACTGCCGGTAGACAGTAGACTATTACAAGGCGTGTGGCCTATTCGACATTTATAAAAAAGTGATTGACATCTGTCCACCTGGAAGGCAATGGCCAAGTTGAAAGTACTAACTGCACGCTGACCCAATCGCAGGATGCCTTTGTCGAGGAGTACCACACTCATGATAGGAACAAACGGTTACCGTGTGTGATGATGGCATACCGCGCCGCGGAGCATGCCTTAACTGGATACACCCCTTTCTTTATGCTGACCGGACGCCACTTCCATCTACCCCTTGTCTCCCACTTGCCTGTAGTTGCCCCCATCGAATATAATTCGGAGGACTTTATGTGGCAACTTCAGGAATTTCTACGATCAACCCACATCTTTGCACGAGACCCGCTCGGAGCAGCCGCTGGAAGGCATAAAAACTACCAATTAGGCGACCGAATGTGGAACTTTCGCCCCTTGCCCACACTGGGCAATACGGCCAAATTTTTCCATCCTCGGGAAGAATCATACGTAGTCGTGGAGTCCTCCAACCCACTATTTACGTACATTGCGATGCGCCATTCCCTGGTGGCCCAACGTTGACGGGGCATTCTGATAGGGATAAGACATATCGGGGACGCCAACCTACGGCCACAAAGGTTATCACGCCAAAATTTAGTGCCCATACCTACTAGAGAAGAAATAATAGCAATTGTACCAACGGATAGCCCAGCTGATAGGGCTCCAACTGAGGAGGGGAGCGTATAACAGCGGACAAAATCGTGCTCTGTATGAAGCCAAGAAAAGGAAGCGGACGATTTGTAGTGTTAAGTTTCCGGCTTACCCTTTGCCATACAGACCAGAACGCCTATTAAAACACACTCAAAAAGACAACTGCAGTGGATATAGTGCCCCATTCCGACATACAAAGTTCAAGTATCCAACTATCCCTTTTGACTGGCCGCTATTCTACGTTTGTGCTAGAAATATATGTTTCCCTATACTCGTACTCTGCAATTCCCATTTTGTGCATCCGATTTCTCTCTAACTGTTGTAATTTATTTTTACATCGTTAGTCCCTAGCTGAAATTCAGTCAACTTGTCTGCCAGAGGTTTTCTTAATCACAAATTGCCTCGGGAAAAGATGAGACCAAAAGTCACTGGTCGACGTAAGCTCTCGGCTCTTGTAAGTAAGCATGGCCTAACTAAACGTAAGTCAGAAGCTTTACCTTAATCTAAGTCAGATGGTATTACTAGTCAGTTGTCACCCGTTGTAATTGGTCGGCAGCTTGATCTGTCTGCATTTGACCACTGCAATGACTTTATGCTAAAGTTTGGCTCTTTGCTGACAATTCTTGGACATTTATTCGACGGGAACATCTCCGATATTCCCTCTGAAGAATGTCGGCGTCTCGATTCACTTGTTCACCTGATCGCCAGTGAATCTAGTGATAGACAGAAGCGTTCTTACAACTTCCTGCTAAAAAATATTCCTCGATCTGCTCGGCCAATTGATGTTGCGACCAATTTCCTGTATTCATGTGGTTTCAACTACAAAATAGCCGATGCCAAACGCTTGTCCTCCCGTAGCAAAAATCTACCCATCTTAGTCAAATTGTTTTCATCAATCGAGGTTGACACAATCTTTACTCATCGAGAGCGTGTCACTGCGTACCTAGAGAAGGCAAAATTTTTCCTTTGTCATGATCTTACTCCTATGGAGCGTAGAATGGGGTCTCTATTCTCACGTAAACCCACTGCATCTCAGTCTAATGCTCCCCAACTCGGTCATAATACAAGTGGCCGTAAGGATTCAGCTTCTCCTACTCCTGCGACATCTGACTCCCTCCTTCCTCTTTCTCCTACATCTCCATCTCACTCAAGCCACTTGACGCATTTGCCTGCCCTTAAACTTGCAGCAGCAACAGCAGCAGCAGCCCCATTTGTCGTTTCGTATCCTCCGGATAGTCCCGCTGAGACACATGAAAATCCGTCTACATCAGCTAGACCGATAACTTCTATTGTCCAACTGAGTGCTGTAAGGTCTACAGCTAAGTCACCCGTGGCTTGGCGTCAGAACGGTGAGACTCGAAAATTGAATCAGACTCCGATCCAAAAGATAGGTAGTACAGTTCAATTTAGGGGTACGACGCCTTCTCTTAGATCTAACAAGTCTGTTCAGCCCAGCACGTCTACAAACCCCGCAGCTCCAATTATATTCCCGAATAATTCTCTGTCCTGCATACCGGTTACTTCTCAAAACCCTACTATATATCCAGCAAATAATTCATACATGAATTGCCCTAAATCATTTATGCCCCAACCTAGTTCAGGCTTCCCACCACTTAAGGCCAATTGCTCTCAGGTACGTCAACCTATCTACTTTGACTTCCAATCTAAACCAGGTTTCCCACCATTTCATTCTTTTTCTAATTGGTCCCAACTGGTGCGCTCTCCAACAAGAGATAATCACATTTTAGATCTAATCTTTACCAATGACATTGCTCCTCTTTCTGTGGCTTTAAAAAAGGACCTCTTTGACAGTGACCACGTATTAATTCATTGTTGCCTACCGCTTGCCTTTTCAAAAAAGACAAGCGCCGTTCAGACTTTCATGAACTACGACTGCGTAGATAGCGACTTAATAAATAACTATATTAGATCTTTGGATTGGTGTGGCTTCCTCACTTGTAGCGATGTAACCATTCTTCGTGATGTCATGTCCAATGTTTCCAAGGACATTCTAGAGTTTGTGCCGCGTAGATATCTCAAGCCTAATTCTTCAGATTCTCTTGTTCCGCATTTTCTTCAGAACAGACTAAAAAAGTTGAGGTGACAACTGCGTGACCTATCCACTAGTTCCTTACCAGTTTATCTTAGAATCACAGAGATATTTGAGATGGCCTCAAGGATGCGCCAAGCGCGCGACAGGCAAAGAGAATCAATTGCTCTCAGTGGTTCGAACCCTGGCAAATCCGTCGATAACATCTTCCGTCATCGGTCCTCCTCTAAGCGTGGTCATGAACTTCCACCCATGCTAAATGATAACAAAGTCTTCCTCACCGATGACACTGACAAGGCGTAGTTGTTTAGTGCTTTCTTTGCAAAACACCTTGCTATCGAGTCCGATCCGTTCCCTTTCTTTCGATCACTTTCAGATAGGACACTGAGTACAATTGATGTATCCTCAGATCTCATTAAGAAACACATAAGCCGTTTGAAATACTCACACTGCTCTGGAAGGGACGGGATTCCGAATTCGATTATTAAACAAGCGTCCGACCTTCCCATATTGCTCAGTCATTTATTCTCGGTTTATATTTCAAATGGATTCTTTCCTGAAACATGGAAAACGTCAATTATCATTCCCATTTTCAAGTCAGGATCTCGGTCCGATGTTAATAACTATCGGGGCGTGCACAAAACGCCGTCTCTAGGAAAACTTCTTGAAAGGGTTATTTTCAATTAAATTCTTGACTTCTGTCTAGCTAATCGGCTTCTGAGCTCTAATCAGCATGGATTTTTACCTGAACGATCTTGCGAAACATGCCACTTGGCTTTTCTTAATCTTATCACTTCTCTTCGTAATGAGTGGCACTCAGTGGTCGTTATTTACTTTGATCTTAGCAAGGCCTTTGACAAGGTGCCCCATAGACGTATTTTAGTAAAATTGGAAGCCCTCGGCATCCGGCCGCCTCTACTCGACTTCATCAGGTCCTATCTGTCCAACCGATATCAGAAAGTCATGGTCGGTAATAGCTACTCGACACCCCACTCAATCACGAGTGGCGTACTTCACGGCACGGTCCTGGGTCCGCTACTCTTCCTTCTGTACATCAATGATATTTCGACTGAACTCGGAAATTCGCAAACATTTCCTTATGCCGATGACCTCAAGTGTGTTTACGCATACTCTAAGGACATCGCAAATGTTTGTGTTGAAAGAATCGACCTCCCCAGGCCCTGATGCAGTCCCCGCCAAGCTGCTGAAGGAGCTAGCTCCCGAAATGTTCAAGCCATTAGCCTTGATCTTCCAAACATCATTTCTTACTGGATGCCTACCCTCTGACTGGAACTCCGCTACCATCACTCCGCTTTTTAAGAGCGGAAGTCGTGCATCTGCGAATAACTACAGGCCAGTGAGTCTTACCTCCATCTGTTGCAAAATCATGGAGAAGATCATTAAGAAGGCCTTGATGCAGTTCCTCGAGCAGCACCACCTCCTCTCTGATGCACAACACGGCTTTCGAAGTGGTAGGTCCTGCCTCACGAATCTGCTCTTTACGCTCGAACGCTGGACCAAAGCACGCGATGAAGGTATTGTGGTCCACGCCATCTACATCGATTTCAAAAAGGCCTTCGACAGCGTTCCCCACCAACGTCTCTTGCACAAACTGCGCAACGCTGGAATTCGTGGACGCCTTCTTGTATGGATCCAGAGCTTTTTGGCTGGACAGTCCCAAAGAGTGCAGCTCGGGCGTCAACAGTCCTCAGAGGTAAGCGTGGTGAGTGGCGTCCCACAGGGCTCAGTCCTAGGTCCCACCTTATTCCACGTTTTCATAAATGACTGCGTCAAATACCTAGACTGTGATGCCATCCTGTTTGCCGACGACATTAGATTGTGGAAAGTTATTCACAATGCGGCAGACGCAGACCACCTGCAAGCAAACCTGAACAGGCTCGAAGACTGGTCGAAGCGCTGGCTTATGCCCTTCAATATAAGCAAGTGCAACTTTCTTCAACTAGGCAGCTTCAGAGCCTCCAGCCCCAGGACTTACTTTCTAGAGGGCACACCACTGCAACAGGTTGATAGTCAGAAGGACTTGGGTGTATGGATTCCATCTTTATTCAATCAACACTGCACTGCGCGAAGGCAGCTAAATCGGCTATGGCTACACTGCAACTCATTAAGCGAGCATTTATGGGATTTGATCCAGACAGCTTTTCAAAAATATTTGGCACCTACGTGAGGCCTCATCTAGAATACGCCATACAGGCGTGGAGACCTTGGACTGCCAAGGACTATACCGTTTTGGAGAAGGTCCAGAGACGGGCGACCAAAATGACACAAGGTCTGGGAGCGCTGTCTTACGAATCTCGACTGTCAACTCTCAACCTGTTTCCACTTTCCTACGGGCAATTACGTGGTGACCTTATACTTGCATTTCGCATTATCAACGGCCTAGACTGTTGTTTAGATCCCACTGATTATTTCACACAAGCTAACACGCCCAATTTGCGCGGTCATCCCCTAAAACTACGCGCCGGGAAAGCAAGGACCAATGGAAGAAAGTTCTTTTTCAGTCACAGAGTGGTTGCAGCGTGGAATGCCCTGCCCACCGATGTTGCAACCTCCTCCTGTGTGAATTCCTTTAAGTTTAGACTTGACGCGCATCAAGCCTCCCAGTTACCAGCCTCACATCCACTCACATAACCGGCACCAACTTAACTTAAACTTGTTATACTACTTGTAACTTGTTAGTAACCGTTATTGATTACTCTTTTTGACAAGCTGTCAGCGATTATGTGCAAAACCCCTATTTTCCCCTTCCCACTATCAAGGTTTTTCTCCGAGGACTTATAACCAATAGGGAGTTCAAAGGCGCTCGCCTATATCTCCCTTAATAAACTGAAACTGAAACTGAAAAAATTAATGCCGATTTACTACGCTTAAGCAGATGGGGTTCGACATGGCTGATGGAGTTTTCATCATCCAAGTGTAGTTTCATGTCTTTTGGTCCTACCAAACTTCCTGGTCCCATAATTTTTTAGAATAACCCACTCTCAGAATGCCTCACCATAAAGGACCTAGGTCTAAGTTATACAAATAAACTTGCTTTATCACCTCATGCAGATAGACTCTCTGCCAAGGCCACGCAGATATGTGGATTCATATCGCATAATTTTTTCCTTCCGGAAATGAAGCTAAGACTTTATCAAATGTTTGTTCTTCCAGTCCTCGAATATTGCTGTCCTTTCTTCGGTTTAATGAACGCCTGCGACCGCAATAAAATCGAAAATGTTCAGAGGGTTTTCACCCGGAAACCGTTCTCTCAAGCTTCGTCCAGTATTTCTTATACTCAGAGATGTCAGCTGGCGAACATGAAGTTTTTGTGGGTTAGAAGACTCGAAGCTGGCCTTTGCTTCCTTTTTCGCATCAACTCTAGCTCCAGTCTTCCGCCCATTGACACTCTCACTCCGAGGGATCGGTCTTATCCCACGCGCAACTCCTGCATGGTGATTCCGCCGCCTCTTTGTACTACATCTAAGCGCTCCCTCTTCTTTGCTTCCAAATATGCCTTCCTTTGGAATAATCTTCCGCCTGAAATTAGATTATCGCCTAGGTTACTGATATTCAAGTCGAAATTACGCAACCATCTTACACCGGAAAGCATAAAGGCACTGTTAACGGTCTCATTCCCGAACACTCAGATTCTTGACTTCGAGAAGGGTCCTCCTGGGATTTAGTGGTAGATTAAGTGGTAACTCTTAATTATGTCATTAGAAACCCCTGTTTTGAATTGGTTTCTAAATCCACTGCTATCACTCCCCCCCCCCCCACATAGCGACAATTTTCGCGGTTTTTGATGTCATCTCCCGCATTCCGACCTCATGCGGTCTGTCGACACTCACGGCGGAACCCTCAGTCTTCACTGTTTACTAGTAGTTCGGTCGTACCTCCCTTCCTCACTGCTCGGCTGAGCTCGAAGCGTGCTGTGGCCGATCGCATCTGGGTTCCTCTCGTCTGGCCTCTTTGACGCGGCGTATCAATCCGGCCCAGACGATCTCAATTGCGAATCCCGTATACAATGTTATATGCAAGCCAGTCCTGTCTGACCCACATTCATCCCCCTCAAGGCTGAGATTTATTGCTACCCTGACGATGACCGACAACATTCCGTTATATACCGCCACCTACAGGCCAGTCCTGCTCGCTTTTTTCTGTTATTATTTTAAAGAGGGGTTTTTTTCTCCTGTAAAATTAATCCAATCACTTTTAACTTTTTGTAAGGAGTTTTTTTTTCACTCCTCAATCATCAGGTTTCTCAATGGACTTCTAATTCAGAAACTATGAATTGCATTTTGTAAAGATTCGGCCTACCTCGTCTAAAACTCGCATGCAAATTTATTTTAATTTGCTTTGATGGGACACCGACGGGTCTTTAATAAAAATTATCTATCTATCTATCTATCTATCTTATGATATAAATCTCTCGTATCCGGACACTTCGTCTCCTGCTGAGGGCTGTGCTGTTATAGCGGCCGAGGACGTCAAGTGTAGCACACACCAATGTAAGAGAACGCTGAGAGTAGATCCTGGAGGAGACAAATCTGAACAGAGCCGTTAGCATCTCTGAATAAACATTCACACGCAGCAGATGAGGGTAGGTCAGAAACGGAATACAGTTAAGTATAACAAGACGGTCATGGGAGATACGTATAATAATAATGGTTACTCGTACAGTTGGAATGAGTTATAGCCATCAGATAACCTGTCTGAGTGGGGAGGCGATACCGACATGCCAGCTCATTAACCGGTGGGGAATGCAGCGCTGTGGGCAACTGCAGGGAAGGGCTGAGGGAGGTGCCGATGTTGTGAGACGGAGAGCGATGCGAGCGTTGCGGTACGGCACGGTAAGGGGGAAGGGATCGGCGGCTTAGAGAGGAAGGGACACCGGCCATCCTCACTGACACGCGGTTACGCCATCTCCACCCTAGGTCCTCGCGCGGAAAAGTGTCACACATTCAAACAATTCTGTACAAGTCCAGGGGCGTCACACTGACTCGTGTTTTTGAGAAGGATGAATGACGGTGACAATCAGCCCAATCCAGAGTCTGTGTGCTGTCCTGGGCCGAGACCCATGCTAGAAGGAGGAATAGCTGCGGGGGTCAATACAACCGGGGCTACGAGCCAGGTGGACGGTCCGTCTACGACAGTGGTGGCAAGGCACCGACCGTATCCATCGTCATTGCATTCGACAGATACTTACGGCCCATCAACACACACCGTTCACGTACCGGCGTTTTACGGCACGGAGGCGTTTACTATTTGGCTCTGGGGAGTCAAGTCCGTATACAAGCACAAAAACCAAACCACGACGTTAACCCTGAACCTAAACACAGAACCTAATCCTGCCCCTGACCCCAACCCTAAATCTAACCCTATCCCTTACCCTAACCAAACCATGTGGATAATCCGATTGGCAAAGTTGTGAGATCCGGGTTGATTATTTGAAGAAGAAGAAGATGAAGAAGGTGGGCTCACCGTAATAGGTTTATTAGGATGCTGACGTTTCGAAGAGCTTGGTCGGCTCTCCATTGTCAATGCGTAAAATGCACTCAATCCACCAGAGATCCCAAGTGGCATATCACGTTGGACGGCCTCGTGCTCGTCAATTTTTTTTCTCTCTCTCCTCTCGCTGCCGCGGCCTATCAGGGGATGTTTGACTGGTGTTTTGCCTGCGTGCGTTGTGAGTCACCACTCCGCCGAGGGGGAGGTGACTGAACCAGTGTCGGATGGTCGGTCTGGCGGTTCTTTTTTTTCTTCACCGAGTAAACTCGCCGTCGGGCTGTCTGCGTATGGCCTCCTTAAGCCCGGTGTGGTTGTTTGGTCCGGAGCTCTACGATTGTGATGACGTAGGACTTTGTAGGCTGCAGGAAGGTCGAGATGCCTGTTTATGGAGTGGGCATCGGAGAACCACGCCTCAAGAATTAGCCGTTCTGCTTTTTTTGTTGTTCCGGCCTACGATGGTAGCTCGCCGGAGATCGAAGGTATGCCCAGTTTCTCCAATGTGTGTTGCTAATTGAGAATTTGGGACTAACCTCCGAGTAGCTGATTTGTGCTCTTGTAGGCGAGTCTGCAATTTCCGCCCGGTTTCTCCCACATAGTTGCAGTCGCCCTCTTTGCAATTTATTTTGTAGATAACTGCGTAGGTTTCGGCGGGTGACAAGGGGTCCTTAGGTTGCATCAGACGGCGTCGAATTGTTGCCTGTGGTCGGTGGGCTACGCCTACTCTGGCCGGTTGTAACAATCGAGAGACCGCCTCAGAGACCCCTTTAACGTAGGGAATGGCCCTCCATACTTCAGGTTGCTGCTCATTTGGCCGTCGTCTGTGCACCCGACGTCTGCTTCTCTCGATAAAATGTCTGGGGTATCCATTGGCTGCAAATAGGTTCTGAAGATACATTCGTTCGGCTCTTTTATCTTTTGGCGTGCTGCAATGTGTTTTGACTCTTTGGAATAGAGTGCGGACACAGCTACGTTTGTGAGACAGAGGATGGTTGCTGTTGAAGTGTAGGATCTGTCTCGTGTCGATGGATGTCCGGAATACTGCGGTTTGCAGTTGTCCAGTTGTATTCCGGCGCACAAGCACGTCGAGGAATGGCAGTTGGTTGTTCGTTTCTGCTTCCATCGTAAAGTGGATATCCGGGTCGACCGAGTTCAGTAGTTCCTTTAGGTGCTCAATGTCAGTTGTTTTGACAACGACGAAGGTGTCATCGACATAGCGAGCCCAGAACTTTGGTTGATACTTAGCGAACACCAAGTGTTCTATCCGTTGGAGAACTACTTCAGCGATTAGGCCCGATAGAGGGGAACCCATAGGGGTGCCTTTTATTTGTTCGTGCATTTGTCCACCAAAGGTGAAATAGGTCTTGAGGCAGTATCCCAGAAGCTCGAGCAGATGTTCAGACTTCAGGGGCTTGTCCCTCTCTTCATGGCGCTCTGCCAGTAGTCGGTCCACAACGTCTATCGCTAGTTGCTGTTGAATGGAGGTGAAGAGCGAAACGACATCAAAGGATAACATGGATTCGTCTGGCTCTAACTTCAGATGCTTTATGCGCTCGAGGAATTGGTTTGCAGACGCTACTGTTGTTGGTGAGCCTTCTGCCAAAAACTTAAGACGACCGAACATCTATTTTGCCAAACCGTACGTCGGAATGCCGCGAAGAGATACGATTGGCCTGAGTGGGACATCTGCCTTGTGTACATTTGGTAGACCGTAAAAACGAGCCGTGGCGGTGTCAGTGGGTTTCATGGAGAACCAGTCGCTGGGCGTAATCGCCCCTTTGGCCCTGAGGTTTCTCAGGCTTTTGTTTATGCGGGTGATTAGATTTTTCATTTCGCTGGCACGGCATTGTTTGTAGGAATGGTGGTCTTCGAGTAAGTCCTGTACCTTGTTCTGGTAATCCGATTTGTCCAGCACAACTGTTGAGCGTCCTTTGTCAGCTGGTAGAATAATTATTACCTTGTTTGCTTTTAGGCTTTTCAGTGCTCGCTGTTCCACAGTGCTAAGAGTTTCGCACCTCCGGTTTCGCATAAGCAACTAGGAGGTTTGGTGACGGATCAAATCTTTCGTCTCTTCTGATGCCCTTGCCAATTAGAGTACAGATTCGAAGGCAGCAATAAACTCTGTGGGTGCGGCATCTGCTGTGTTAAAAGTGTCTCCACGTTCAAGAACTGCGAGTTGTGTGCCTGTGAGGGGTTTGGAGGAAAGGTTGTGGACCAGGACGCCTGACGAGTTGTCTGGGTTTGGTACTCGAAGTTTTTCCAATTTTGTAGATAATTCCTTGTCTCTTTTGACACATACTTTCTGAGCGTGTCTGAGAATCTTCAGCTCAATATCCTTCGATTCTTCACCGAAAGCTGTCCAGAGATGACATTTAGATTGCTCTATCTCCAAGTTGTAGCGTTCTCAGCTGTAAAATTTTTCATGGACCAAACTCCTGCCAGACCCCTAACTTAACTCGTGCCTCAGCCCACACAATAACTCAAATGCTGATAGATTTAGAAATCTTGTGAACTTACGAGGTTTCAAATCACGATAGGCAGCGCCATTAAAGATCCCCAGAAGTCTTCTAAAAACACTTGCGGAAAAAAACTAACCAATCATCGAACAGGTACTGGTGACCAATGGGAAACGCCTTAGCACCATTGACCCTACAAGATTCCATCCGCGATTAGGCCATCGCTGTTTTTTCCAGTGAATGGGTAATGTTCCTTTTATTTACTTACCTTGTCATAGATTGTGAACCAGATCTCTCTAGTGAAATCAACTCAGTTGCGTTCGAATCGGTACTACCGAATCTTTAACTTTAATTCTCCAGAATCTGGATTTGAGGGAGTATGCCACTGCCGTCGAAAGGCAACTTGAGGCACTCGAACATGATTCAGTCGAGTCCTGTAAGCAAGCCCACGTTTCTGTAATGTTTACTTAGACATGCAAACGGGGTCTGATGTTGTAACATTGCACAGAAAAATTTCCACTTTTTGCAAGACGCTTGAGGTTTGTTGACAGCAAAACTCCATATTTCACTTAGCGCATGGAAGATATTTTATCAAACTTTCACCAAGACCTGTGGACCATTGGGTCGGACATCCAGGATCTCCAAGTGCGGTCTATGGACATGCATCAACGGTTACAGAATCGCCAGGTACTCCGCCTGTACCAGGATTTCTTGTCTCGATTTGTTTGAAAGTCCATTTATTTCGTAATAGTTCTTACATATTTTTTTCGGATTTGATTGCCCTTTTATCACAGACTGGCGTTTATGAAACCATGCTTTCTTTCCTCAAGGCAGTTCGCGGGGAACTAAACCAGTTCTTGTCCGACATGGTCATCCCGGAACCTATGATAAAGTTGGTTCTTCTGCATGGTTATGAAACGATTTTCAGATTTTCGCTGAACATCTAACTGTTTTGGTGGCCACTTTAACTATGAATTTGTGCCTTTTACTCCGTAATATTAGCCCCTAGATTTTGGTTCTTCAAATGTCGGCCCTTGCAGCACTTTTCACATTAATAACTGTGTTCGCATTTCTTAGTTTATAAATCCCACTTCCGTTCTACGCATGTCACTCTTGGCTCAAAATATTCTCCAACTTAAGGAATTAACCTTTCATATCCTCCACTTTCGTTGTGGTCTTGTCAGATTTCATCCTTCCTAGGCATATACTACTAACCCCAGTGACGGAGCAGGATTTTATCGAGAATCTCCATGAGTTGGACCACAAAATCAACTTGATTCTCAGTCAGTCGTTGCCAAATTATCCTTCCTGTCAGGACGTGGGAGCACTGCTTAAAAAACTGAAGTTGAAAGTATTCATTCATGAATTGTAATCTTTACTACCCTACTTAGGCTGTCGTTAAGGTTCGTGAATTTTTGTTAGAGAAAGTTCGTTCTTTGCGCAAACCCTTGGCCAACTATCAGGTCCCACAAAACCATCTTCTCAAATACAGGTACGTCTAGTCTTTGTTCGCCTTGTATATCCTCACTTGTTTGGGTAGATATCCCTACCCAAATTACTAGTGCTATATTGCACAGTTTTCAAAAACTTGAATACACTAAGTGGGTCAGCTTTAATATGCTGCTATATTTGTACTCTATGCATGGAATGAACTTTGACGACTTCTTATCTTGGTGACGTTAAATACATATTACTTGAGTGAGATGATTTTATCTTCTAATGGTTCCGCCGAAAATTAGGGAAAGCAAAACTTTAGTCGATTTTGCCAATTTTTATCGCGTTCATCGTAGATTCAGTCAACTTTCAACGGGATTTGTTTGTTTGACACGCTTTGAGTAATAGTGCTACGGTAAGAGACATCATTCCCTCTGGACTGTTTTTGCGCCGACTAAGTATTGCTTACTGTGTAGCATAAGAATTCGCCACCGAAGCCGCCGACACGATGATATTAGGCAATGAAATTCTCATGCCCATGTTTTCTCGTGACATTCGTTCACTTGTTCAGAAGGACGAATTAACACTTTTATCTGGTGTATGCATACGTCCTGCCTAATTTAAGAAGACGGTTACCATTTAAGCTTTTATTCGTTTAGATTGACCAGATAACCAGGGATGAGCTAAGTGTGAGTTTAGGTTTCGCAAGACTTCAGCATAATTTGGTTACTGTTCTTTTCTCCCCTTTAATAGTTTCAATGTCAGTTTCTGCACATTAGATAATATAACAACCGTTAAGATTGATCAAGAAATATTTTATTAAAACTCAGTTAGACCGGGGCTCGATTTGGTCAACCCCTGGCAGTGCTGCATAGGGAAGGACACATTTTGCTCATCCGCCTCAGTTGGCGAGAGATCTTAGGCAATTGAGTTCCACTTTCCTCAAATTCGTTTCCGGCCGTTAGGGTTAGTACACAGGACACACGCACTCGTTGAGCATTATTTTACGCACGGAGCATTTGATCTTTGTGTGCTAAAGGTATGTTTATTCTCAATATCTAACAAACGCTGTCTCTGAAGTTCCTCTTATGCAGTCTGGTGAGACCACATGAGGAAATTGGAATTAGCTGACTCGTTTGAACTTGATATAAATACATCCAACAGGTGAATGAACGTTTCGTGTCAACCGCCTGCAGGTCCAGGTCTATCGCGTAGGCTGTATCGAGCACAGTTTTCTCCCATTTTTCTGCCGTGGGAGCAAAGTTTAATCAATTCCGTTGGTCTTGATTCCTCTGTCAACATGTTCGAATTTAGAACAGTCGGTAGGGGCCGTTATTAGTTAATTGGACGTTGTGAGCAATGCACCCAGTATTTGGGCGTTGTTCAGTAGTAGTAATGCCAGTTATACTCAAAGAGCGTGTTTATCTTAATACTCCTTACTCGCCTTCCCTATCTCGAAGGTATTTCTACGAATTCCTCCTTGTCCATGAAAAATTAACAGCGCGAGAGGTGCGCGCGAGCTACATCGGAACAATGGAAAAGGTCTATTACTCCTACTTCAAGACGTATGCCTCGAAACTGTCAAAATTACAGGCATGTCTCAGTGCTATCTTCCTTGATTTCTTCCGTATCTGATTTCTATATACCCTACTTGAAATCAGGTGGACTAGAAAACTTGCCTGCCACTGTTGCCTCTATCCTTGTATGTGTCGTCCTAGTTTTGTATTCCAGAACCAACGTTTGTACATTTCTCAACGTTTTTTACCAGATGGACAGTTCATTGGAGAAGGAGGACTTGGTGGGTAAGAAAGACGATCTGGGCGCATGGATGCAGAGCGGCCCGCTGTCTGCACCCACGTCAACAGCGGCGGCGGCGGCCGCAGCAACAACCGCAACAGGTCGCGGCTCTAATGTAGGCGCAGGTGCTGCCTCCTCACGTCCGGGCCAGTTTGGACTCGGGGATCGTGCAGAGCGGCTTCTGAGTAGGGAAGGCGTACAGTCAGCCATTCTCATTCCGCACGCAGCTGCCAAGGGCGACGCTCGGGTACCCCACTTATTATTTTTGTTCTCGATACTTTCTTCAATATTTCACTCCAAGAACTCAGCAGTCCGCTACTTAGTATGATGTTATATGCGCGCGTAAATAATGAAGGAAGAGACAGGTTGCTTGTCACACCCAGCCATTTATTCATCCCACCTTTCGCATTTCTGCTGAAGTTCGCGATCACACATAAGGCAGCAAGGTAATAGGCTTTATTTTGAGGGTGTTAGAATTAATCAGCAATCTGTATCGTCATTTTGGATATGCCCGTACAAGGCCCAGAAGTCAACCTGCTGACTGCGACGGAAGCATCCTAGCGGGACTATCCCACTAGGCGGTAACTATCTGCTTCGAGAGGGAGTTTGTTCCGTTTCTTTCAAGCATACCGGATAGATGCCCGAGTGGCCCATATCAAGACGCTATTGGCTGCTGACAGTCATGTTGAATGTATTCGAACGCCGTATGGACATGTTTGGCCAGTGCATCCAGGTTCATCTCAACGCTCCAGTTGATTGCCTCTCGTTCTTCCATCACGAATACGATGAATCCACCCGAGGATGACTGGAAAAATTTTGCAGCAATTCTGACGATACTAAGGATGTTGATGTGCTCTCACCGCATCTTACATTCCTTCATAAAGGCGAGCACAGGAGTAGCCGAGCCACACTTATCAGATATGGCCTAACCTTTTAAGACTGTTAGATAATGTCACAGAGCCAGGGCCCTATAGTGTCTCTACAAGACATATAGGGTTCAGAAACAATTCGATTCTCGCCAGGGCCCTTGTTACGTACCTTGAGTCTTGCCTTTGCGGTTTCCTCCAGGGAGCGGAATTAAGCCGATTTTCTCGAGTGTGAATGACTTAGTGTGCGTGTGAGAGGGAGGGAATGGGCGAGCGAGAGAAAGGTAGTGACTAGTTGTTAGTCTGATTTAATAAGGCACTTGGGTTCGAAGTTGTCGCCATCAGCACCGCAAACAGTCACTTCTGACTGGAAAAATGAGTTAGCACACTTTCAGTGTGTTGCCGACTTTGTCGCTCGTCTGCTGAGCCTTCTCTAGTACTCAGACTCACTAGAGTTATCATAAAGTAGCTGTGGTTGGAGAGCATGTCTAATAACCGTTTATGACGTTTATGTAGTAGCTCTGCCATCGCCTGATTTTCTGAAATGACTGCGAACTTCGAGTTGGCTTATCGTGCGTCTCTCCGGCAAGCAATAGGGCTCAGCGCTGTGCCAGAAGAAATAAACATTATAATTAAAGTCTCTGTTAGCTTTGCGTCGCCGTCAAAGTTCGCCTTCACATGATCATCAAAACCATTAAATGGTCGGTTAGAATTAATTAGAATGCATTTTGTTGTCCACCATGGATTCTCAAAGATTCTGTGAATATTCTTGGTGGTGCGAAATCTACACCCGGACTCTGACTGACCTGCATCGAGTGTACCGACAATATCGCTCTGTCCTATCGTCAAGTAATGCCAGCTTGCAGAATTCACTCTATCGAGAAGGATTCCGCACAATCAGTTGATTTGTCCGTCAAAGCCCTACAAGCCGGAAGGCTTTCTACCTGAACCTATGACCACGAGAAGACAGTCCTCAGAGTTAATGACTGTCACCTTGTAAAGATAGGCAACTCCTGATACCTGGAGTCAGGTTTCTGCCAACTGAGCTGAGGAGCAGCTTCGTCCCTGGCTTGTCTGTAAGGCTGTGAAGCTCCTCATAAGACCGTTCCGATATCATCCACCACAGGGATCCACGCATAACGGACATGTGATTCACCAGTTCTCCTCGGGCGGAAGAAGAGAGAAAACTGGAGCTTTTCGACTACCGTTCCCCGAAAACGACCGCTCAATTGGAGTGCGCTAGGTTCGTAAATGTGACTTTACGTTTGCTGCGACAACCTTGCGAGCATCTCCGGACGATCAGGAACGTCAGACGAGCTAGTTTGGGCACTTTCTGCGTCGTCCACTCCATACGTCCCGTGCTGTTGCCCTTAATCCAAAGTCACCACCGATTGAAGGCGATGAGGGAGGTCGGGTTAAAATTATGTACAACAGGACCTGTCAAGATAACGGAATGGTCCTTGGATCGGTTGTATTTCACGCTGCTGGAGCGAGAAGAGATTGAATTCAACAGATTCTTCGCCACAGGCGGTCGTGCGAGGTTATGCATTATCATCGTCACCCTCGAGCTCGTTTGGATCGGACATGTTCGTAATCGTGTCAAGTCAAGTAGAAGTAAGCACAGCTATATGAGGATTTCCGTGTGAGAACTAAACTTTGCACCTCATTTCATGAAGAGTTTATCGTAGCATGATTCCAATCCACTTACGATAAGCATGATAAATACCCCGGAGCACATTTAGAATCAGAGGGGCCTTGCAGTCATAGATCTGTCTTGATTACAGAATGAAAATTGATGTTCTCGTTTTGTTTTGGGGCTCCGGGTCTAGAGCCCATCCATGCCGTCTCGTAGCATCGAGCAGTGAATAAGTAAGAACTATTGCGAGCAAAGGTACTGAACACTAGAATGGGAATTTTCGAAAACAGAATTGATCGGTGGACGCCACTCATGTGGCTTTGCACATTCCCTATTTCAGCCGACGGGGGGGGGGGGGGGGAAGGTGCGAAAGCTCAGATAGATTGTGCGTTGAGGTTGAATGCTCAGTGACCCACCGCAGCCGGGTCCAGACCTCGGGTGCGCCAGCACCTATTACTGAGTATCACTGAGTAGCAATAACTAGTAAGCCCGAAACGGTCGTTCAACTGCTGCACTCTTTGTCCGTAACACTTCGCTGCGTCGTGTATATTGCCATTCTCAAAGCCCTGGTTCTAGACAGGTTTGTGCCAGAATATGTGGGGCCGGAGCGCGATATCTGCAAAAGTGGATCAGAAAATATTCGGCACTCGTCGATGGGAGCGGAATTCCTAATCAGCTACTACGCCCGCATCTATCTTCAGGCGTGTTTAACTAGTTTCGCTTGTAGAACACGATAGGGATTGGAAAAGGGGGTGAGGTAGACGTTGTGCAAGTCTGCATTACCGCAAAATACTTTATGCGTAAATGATTTCCTGACATGGTGGTCGCCGCCGGACACTTCTGATGGATGATGCCAGTCTGTGGATATAGATCATGGTACAGAACCAGGTGGTGGTGGACCATCCTTTTTAACACACGTATGCCTGTTAATGCTGCTCTTTAAGGTAGGATAACCCTCACGTGTAGGAAGGCCTTTGTTGCCAGTGCATTCCGGTCACCCTGGGCGAAGGGTCTTCCATCTGGACTTAGAATCAAGCTTGTAAACACAAGCTCTAGGTCTTATCAGGAGAGGGCGAACTAACGAGGGATATGCATCATAGGTCTGATCTGATCACTGCTTACGCCCGTCAGTTTTGGCGGAAGTCAAGAGGGTCAGCGCAGCCGAGAGTGACCAACATGCCAAATTCAAGCCCTCGACTGTCGAAAGGGTTGCTGGGGCAAAATCTGCCAAAAATGCACTTTATGATGATCGAGGGGATACACTTGATTGCCCTGATACCCCTCTGTGAAAGGCGCCATGACGTTGCCCCAAAACGTCTTAGGAGGGCACCACGGAAGTTTTCGGACTAATTGAAAGTACGGTCGGCCACGTTAAGGGAATTGCCTATTGTGGATAGCAGTAAGTTGACTAAAACTTCGAAAAACCAGGGTTAGGCTCGCAATTTTGCGTACCCAACGCACCAAAGCGTTCCTTTTCTAGACTTCCCATATTTTGCTTAGTATCACTTACACCTTCCTTTGCCTGTTTTAGTACCCCGTGGAACAAGTATTCAGATCTATAAGTTACGCACTATTAGATACAGCTTCGCGGGAGTACCTCTTTCTTGGAGATTTCTTCCTGCATGGCTTCTCCTCACCAGTGGTTCGGCCAGCGACGTCGGAAGGTGGAGATGAAGGCAGAAGCAGCCCAGCCTCTCTTTCCAACCAGTCTGGCCGGCCTCCCAGTGGCGCTGAGGCTGCCGCTTCCCTCTTCAGCAAGATTTTCACCAGAACTCTGAGTATGCTAGAGACCAGCGTGATACCTCAACTTGTCGCCACCGGTGCCTACGACCTCCTCGGTCTTATGCTTTGCGTTCAGTTGGTGCACGCCATGATCAACTTGGGCGTCGAACGCCAGGCTCCTGTTTTAACGACGTAAGTCCAGAACACCCCTCCCCTTGTTGGGTACGTCCACATTCTCAAAAAAAGTCGTTCCATCTTACTGGAAGGCGTGTACGTGCATTCGTCCTCCTGTGTGTGTGACAAGCATGTTTTCGACAGCGTCTCGCTACTAGCTACGATCGCAGTGCCTCCCTGGAACCTGATTGGTGCGTGTTTGCGAGAAGTTGCGTGGCCACTCTAGGCCTTCTTCTTGGGGCGGAGTGGACGGAATTCTAGCCATAATTAACGGGGTTCTACTAATGCACGCAGTTTTTTTAAATTAGATTGATTTGCGGGTGGCAATGCAATTTGTCATAGTAGATCGGACTTTTTCTCTTCTGTGTTGGTGGTTTGGAACAATGGTCGTGTGCGCATACCATTCTTGTTATCGCGGGATACCGGGACGAGTCACGACACCCCCGCCGCCAACAGACACATTTAGGTAAACTCATAAAGGCTATCTTCTACGCCTTTTTTTCTTTCCTCCTAGCTTCTGGAACAATATATTAAACATCCTGTGGATAAAGGTTGTGGAACGTCTGGAGGCGCACATTTCCTCCTTGCGCGGCCTGGATGTCGCACAATTCAGTCAGGCTGCAGCAACCTACCTGCCGCGTTCTAACCGTGGTGGCATTAACGAGGCCGCGGCCATCAATCTCACACCCCGCGCCTACTGTCTCATTCGACCGCACCCTGTAGCCCGACGCTATGCTGAGTTGGCAGCCAGCCTTCACAGCATTGGACGGGCTCCCCTGAAGGGTGCGTCCTCCCGTCTTTTTGCACACTCCTCACGGACACATTTGTTCACTTCTATTTGCAGTGGTCCTTTTTCTCATTTCTATACTAGCATGCATCGGGGCTCTAGTGTGCGCCACCATCTGCAGTCCAGTTCAAGGAGGTCACAGGAGCCATCTCTTCGGCTAATGGTCACATATGAAGTTAGCGGTTGAAGAAGGCGGTTGCCACGATTGGTTGCAGTCTAGGTGAAGGTCAGGCGAACGGACCAGGCCCAAGGAGGTGTTGCAGTTGATAGTAGAACAGTAAAACTGGTAGTAGGGAGTAGTGTGCTTAGATCTAGATTTCTTGTCCGTCTCATTGAAGTCTTCCGAAGCTGCGAGGCTTCATAGGCCAGCTTTCGTCTGTTTGTTGTCGGGTAGGGTTCTGTGGATTGAGCGATTGGTTGCTGCCATGGTCGATAATGGTTCTGGCAGTAGCAGAGGGTACCGAAGCTGGGTTTCGCATAGAGGTTGTCCAACGGCCGATGTTGCGTTTGCTTACATAGCCATAGAGTGCTTATGAACGTCAGACTGTAGCACGTTAGATGGTTGACCATTATCGGTTAGGTCTTTCCAGTTCCCTCATAGGAGCTGTTTTATACTATTGTGGTCACGCTAGTGGTAGGTTTAACACTCGCATTCGATATCCTAGTGTCAAAAGCGGATTTTTTTATACAAACCGGTAGTTTCGAAGAGGGCGACACGAGCACTGGACAAGAGTTCTATTCGTCTGCCGTTTCTGATTCACACTCCAATCAGTATTCGCAGACTGCATCAGATAAGGGCAATATTTTCACAAACGTTGCACTATCTGTAGGATGCTGTTACTATACCACTACACATCTATTACAATTAACGGCTCCGGCATTCCAAACAGATAATTGAGCTTGCAGCGGTAATTGCTTGATGGTCCACAGCCGAGTCTTTAACTGCCGCAATTAAACTACTCATGTTGGTTACTGGTGTGATAACAACTCGACAACTTGGTTCACTAGCACGAACACTGAAAACAATGCCCACTCGCGTGCCAGTCGCGTAACTGATGACTTTGCCCAAGTAAGATATTAGCACAGAATATGACGGAGGAAGGTCATTGCCATGTTAATGAACTTTGGGCCGGAGAACTGCAGCTCAGTCAACGCGCGGCCTACACGCTTGTCACCTCTCGAGGGTTATGGTCTCGTTGGATTCAAATGTTTGGCCGGGTCATGTTAAATCAGCCGCGACTTGGAAACTGGCGTCGCTCCTCATCACTGCTGTTGCATGTTCGGCCATTCACGTGCCGAATGATCTCCCGGCCTCTCACGTGGTTGCTTCACCCGCAACTACACTAGATGAGGCAAACGACTGTAGACATTTCCTGCTGTGGCAATGGGCCTTTCGACCCCATGACCTAGTGCCTGATGCTTGCCTCCGGTTTGCAGCCAATAGGATGGCTGCAAATGATGCTCAGAACTTGCGTCGTACTTGTCGCCTTCTTTAGGTCACCAAAATCTTTGCGGCCGACGATGACATGACGGAATGCCAACTGGTTGTGTCCCCAAATTTCCGTCGCAAACTCTACACTTGTACATGGCACGGGTTGGGTCATGCCTGGTCTTGCCGGCCTCGACTATGTCGCATATTGTACCGCTTCATGCGTGGCGATCCGCGGCAGTGAATCTGGGCGACTCGATCCATCCTCCTCTCGAGAGACAGAGACCAAGTACCGGAATCTCGAGAGTAACTTCCATGTGTTGACGACCTGTGTTGAGCCAGGTCGCGAGTCGACGCCTCCAGGCGGACAACGGCGTCGGATTAAGGACATTAACAGTGATCTCGTGAGGCAGACGATAGAGAACGGACCAAAATCATATCAGTCGTCTTCTTTAGATGACCCGGAAAATCCTCTATATATTGTCTCGGAGTGGGGACTGCTTCACCTGAAACGAAGTCAGCCCACGTAACTCGAAGGATGGTCCCTGTGCAATGGCGTTCAAATATCCTGCCTTCGCTTATCTTCCATGCTCAAAGCTCAGCATTCACAAAGCTGGGGGAGGACTAACTGGACGAATGCGTCGTAGACGCGAATCTTAGTGGCGGTGGAAATGTCGCATCGGCTTCATTGGCACTTTCTAAGGATTGAAAAGAAGCCTGCGTGAGGTATCGATTTGGGAGCCAATGTCGTCTTTAATCTGTCCATTTGGCAGCAGCCTCGCCCCCACGTATTTGAAACTGCCTGTTTCTTCAAGTTGACGGCCGTTAATCCCGAGGATTGCCTTTTCCTGCCCAGGGACGCAACTTGGAATTAGCTGCGTATGGATAAGCCGGCGGGTTTCGCGACTTCATTCACGCATGACAGTAGATCACCAACGCTCAGGGCTAACAGGGCGACATCGTTAGCTTATGCTGGATCAGTCAACCGGCGTCCAGATGCAAATTCAACACCGTCAAAACCGTGTCACTAGCCCTCCGAGAATGCAGTCAGTGGTGTTGTTGAATACAATGGGCGAAGACTTAATTCTAGAGCGCGTCTCAGTGTGAATATCAGTTCCGTTCATCCACGCCTAGCTCGGAATCTGGCTTGGCTAGGCCTCGTCCTAGAGTCTCGAACACCCTGGAATTGTCTGACAATGACGACAACGAAGACCTTCGCAGAAAAGCCAATGGGGCTTATGCCCCGACAATCTTTGCTCGAAGTGCTATCCAGCAGTCGACCTTGGCCGAGTTTTCAGCACTGAATCCGCCATTCACATCAAGAACAATGTCACTAAGTACCGAGAACTTAGCACTAAGTTGGCGGATAATTTGGTACGGGTTTCGAGTATCTCCAACGTTTGAGGCCTGCTCCATAGAGGTCGCCGTTTCAGCCCAATAATCCTTCTGGTTATCCCCAGTCGACTTTGTCGTTATCTTCCGGAATTGGCGGAATGAAGCGTCGGTACGGTAACTGATTCGAGCCGTCTGAGCAGAAAACTGTGCGGTTTTTCCGCCAATCCAGTTACTTCAGCGTCGCTGGACGAATCCGAGAATGTCCTCAGCTGCCCTAGACTTATGACTTCAATGATGACCATTGGCTACTACCTTGTCCGTCGGCTCAGGTCGTAAAACGTGACCCGGTTCCCATGCTCAGGACCTCGACGTTGTTCGGTTGTCGGGATTTCGCGACATCAAGTCGTTTCATAGGTAGCATTTCGGATTCAATTGCGAGGCGTGTGCGAACGTAAACGTCGCCCGATCCATGGATTCTCCCATTTTCGGTACCACGCATCGATCTGCTATCATGGACGCAGCTGCGGAACTTTGAACCGTCTGGAATGTAGTTGTTCTGGCCGGCCGCATGGCCATCGTACCAGGTCAGCAGATGTTTGTGGCGATGCTAGAAGCACTTGTTGGTGACAAATAGTTGGTTCCGATCAGAAAAGATCAGCATTCCCTTACCATTGTTGCATCACGAACGAAGCCCAAAGCGATCACTGAGGTGACTGAAGGATCGCCGGGTCCTGTCCGATCATTCCAGTCCTCGACAACAATCAGCAGACCACGGCGACTGATTTCTGCAGTTGCGATCAGAAGGTTCCTTTATCGTGTTGGTCGATAGCTGGTGTTAATGCGTACAGGGAGACGACACAAATGTTTGTAATATAACTCTTAGTCTTATGTAAGTCATCCAGTCATTGACTGGTTCCCATGCAAGTAGTTCGCAGTTCGATTGCTGCGAAGGTGATCGCCACAGCATGTCTGCCAGAAGAGTCGTGTGGGTCGCTGTGATAGGAGGTGAAGTTGGGGTTAACTCCTGGGATCTTTATTTCCCTAGAGCCTCAGTAGAGGGTCCGAATTTCAGACAGTCGGCGGGAATCCTTGCTGTACAGCTGAAGACTGCGTGCCGTTAGGTTTTAGGGTGTGAGTACAAGCGCGTCCCCAGTAGCCACTCGGTACGTTTGTTTGAGGTTGTTTCCTCTAGTATTTTGGCTCAAAGATCTAATCACAAGGCAACGCTGCCTTGTGATGAGATTCTTACTTATTTAATGGCGCCATGTCACCGCGTCATCGGGCTTTGCGTCATTTTATAGGGCAGTCGACTTGCCAAACCTCAGTCCTCCACGCCTGGTAGTATTGTCGCTGGTGGTCTGCAGCTGCGTATTCGCCAGTCTCGAGAGCCTGCTTATTTTACAGCTAGCCTTCGCTGAATGCCGTATAATTATCTGCTACCTGTGGACACTCAGGGTAGTTAACAGTTTGACTAGATTGTAGATCCGGGAAGACGCTGAGATGTTATTTGAATGTCAGCACCCGATCCTTTTCATTGACGACAACATCCGTATACTGAGTCCAAAATTTCAGTCTGTGATGTCGGAAGACCAGCCGATTCAACGGTCGCACGACCGCCTCGATTATGATTGCCAAGATCGATGAATCTGGTGTGGTGCCATCCATCTGCTTCTGACATGTTCCATCGAACGTGAAGTACGTTTTGCGGGTCCAATAACTAGCTTTAGCGACGAGATTTCGACAATAAACGACTAGGCTGAGGGCCATCATGCAATGAACGCACTCAGTTTAACCATCTGTGATGAATGCGAGACCCAATAATTGTGATAGATATACACTGGCGTAGCAACTGTATCCCATAAATACTGCAGCACTTGGGTAAACATTGCCCTTATCTGATGCAGTCTGTGACGGCTGATCCGAGTGTGAATCCCAAACGTCAGACGAATAAAACTCTTGGTCCAGCCTTCATTCCTCATTTTTCCCGTTTACTTTCGGGAACTCGCATTTGCGCTTGCATCGACTATCCGGTAGTTCCGCTTGCTATCATTTCTCCTCTTAACTCGGACTAATTCTTTTTTTCAATTCTGCGTCTTCCTGTAGCTTCAAATGTGGCGGAGGCTTCTAATGCCTCAGTATCTTCATCCTCATCCCTGGAGCCCCCTGCATCCGCATCCCTTGTGACCACGTCAGCAGGCACTGTCGGTGCGACCGAACGCTCTCAACTTTCTGTATCTACCCAACTGGATGCGCGCATAGTTCTCTCCCTCTCGCGTATGCACGTGGAATTCGAGGCCGCCTGTTACCGACTGGCCAAAGCCTTGCCCCGCGAAAGACTACGTCTGATCTTCCTCATTAACAACTTTGATCTCGTCATCAGTGTCCTATCTGTGAGAACTCACGTTCCTTTTGTACCTGCCCGAATTCCAATACCTTCTCTTTAGTGCATACATTCTGCGTCATATTTTAGATTTTGCCACTTGTTTGTTGCCCATTTCACATACCCGCACCTTGCTTAAGCTACAGCTGATTCAAATGTGGTGTTTTTCATTACCCGCCGGTCACTTTTTCAGTCGTCTATATCAAGGACATCTGGTGAGTGAATGGATTTATGAATCGGGAAGGTGGATTAAACAGAGCAAAAATGGCATTGCACCATCGACTTACACACGACACAACGTCTGCTGGTGTCCAATCGGCTTATAATTCGCCCCGCATTCACTCATAGGAGAGTCCGTCGTACTCATGCCTACAATGAGGGACGACGGAAAGTCTTTCATACGTCCGTGCTCGGCTACACAGTAAATAAACGTATACGGAGGGGACATCGGCAACATCTATATGACGCAGGTGGTAGAGACCACGTGAATGAGCACGCTGTTGACCACGCATACCGTTGGTTGTGAAGTGTACGGCGACGGACTTCCGGACTACTACTGTCGTTTTCTCTGTTAGGCTTTTGCACGTTTGAGCCTATCGGCGTGCCACTGTCAGTATCTGGCCATAACATCCTTTTCTCACTTTTGCTTTCAGGAGAAAGGTGCAGGCAACTGTCCTGAAGTGCTGCGGTGTCGGGAGGTCGTTGCGATGCACACCAGTGCCTACATCGACCAGGCGTTGTTGCCCTACTTCGGGAGCATGATCGGTTTTATCAGCTCCGTGGAGAATCGTCGACCCGGCGACAGCGACACCGTCAACGATGTTGGAGGTGGCGCTTCAAGCAGCCGAGATGAAGAAGGTTAGATGCACGTTCTCACCCTTCTTTCCGCTAGTTCTTCCCCGTTTGTATGTTTACGCCCTTTCGTCATTCCCGCTCATAGCAAGTATCGTACGACTTTGATGAAGTAAAGAGTCAAATTACTCGTCAGGCGCCGAATGCACATGTTCGTTCCTCCTTCCGCTTGAACCACACCAGTACCTGCTAGGCTTTATAAACAATCAGCGGCCGGTGCATCGACTCTGAGGTTGTGCAGGACTCTGTTTGCGAGCGGAAGGTCAGTGTGCTGGGTAATTAAACTCCCCTCGCTAACGTCGTAGTTCGTCTTATTCCTAGTCCAAATAATTACTTCTGCGGTCCTAAGCGTGTAGATATGACTCGTCCCATGGGCTTGGTTGTGACCCGAGACAACTGTCCTCCTCACCCCACAACTGGTTCATGCTAGTATGCATGCTACACGTATCACTACCAGGACAGCCAAGGCAGACAGTATGGCGTATCACACCAAGTCGCTCATTAGTTTGCCGAGATTGACAGACGAGCTCCATCATGGATGATGGCTGATGTGGCGAGAAAACGACGTTAGTGGGGTCGACCCACGTGTTGCCCTCTCCGCTTGACGTATTGGGGAAGGGAGAACAGGACGGGCGGGACTCAGGTAGGATTTGCTAAATGCGGTGACGCTAACTATCCTTCTCTGGTTAACCCCGCTGGTTAAGGATGGTTGCCGGGGTGTTGTTGCTCTAGAGCCAAGTATGGGAGCTGAATGTCATTGGGGCGATGTACCAGTATCCACAAAATCCATCGATATGCTTGGCAGGGCCAGAACCTCACAAACTTCTAAATGTCAATCAGGGTTACAGATACCGTTGGTGTGAGCGAGCAATCACAGCGTGCATCGCCGGCCCATGACACTCTTTGACCGCCTGCATACTTGGTGGCGCCTGGCTCACTATCACAGACTGCGTTTCTGGACAGCCCATCAGATCGACGATTTTCTGTCCGTGTCCACTGTTGCTTCCTCTGCCGTAATTCCTAGTCTACCTTCATTCCTTTTACTTTTTTTCACAGGGCGTGTGACTCACATCGTAAAGGGTTTCAACATTGATTGGAAAAATTCAATCGAGAAAATAAACGGAGAAATCATGCTTGAATTCGCAAACTTCACCCTGGGCACACAAATCTTTCAGGTCAGTTTCCTCTGCTGGCTACCTTTAACTCTTTGGTGAATCTGCCGGTTTACTTTTGCGGTGACATGTGAATGATTAGTGCTGATACACCCCCTTTGCTGTCCATTCGTTTAGCCTGGTCGGACGACTGAACAGCAGATTTTGTAGGAGACCGGAGCATTACTGTTTCCCTAACCCGACGTTTCAGTCGTATGGCCTAATGACTGACCGACGCCGGCCAATAAGCCAGACACAGCCATCCCAATCTCCTTATCTGCATCTACTGCTGGTCTCTAGACGACTGCTGGCAAGGGCTCTAGACTGAACCCCAATGCAGAAGGGGATGAACACGTTCCGTATACTGGTCGATGAGCGCTTCCCTACCAGATTGTTCAGAGGAACCCCGAGAAATTAGTTTCATATGCCTTGTCAGCTTAGACACTGTTATTGGGAGTAGAAACGTTCAAAGCAACAGGATGGGCAAGACCTCAGAGTCCGCTTCCTGCGGTACAGGGATTTCTAAAAGTATAGAGTTCGAAGCAAACGCTGACTTATCCCATTCGCATATTTCAATGTCGCCGAGACACCATAGTCATTGGGGCCACGAGTCTATGAACGCTCCCGACCGGTCGACACTTGTAAGTTTTACATCATTCAACTTATTTTCTTCTCTCTTCCATTAGGCCCTACTCGCGCAGTTGGTGCAAGTCTATCATCGGTTCCAGAATGTCATGACTCTATCCCCCTATAACACTATGCCGGTGCGGAACCAGCTTGTCAGCATTCACCAGATAATGAATGAAATTAAACGGTTCAAATCGACCTTCTGACGTGTTGCAAGCTGGCATTAACTTGGCTGTGAAGTATCATTCATTCCTCCCCCTGGCTACTGTATCTCAACTTTTTGTTGCGTAATTCTCTGTCCCCTCTTTTGTGCTCTTATTGTGATAACACTGCCCTCCCAGATACTTTTTACCGTTGCCACTTTCTACGCCTGCTTCACGTATGCCTGTCAATGGGTTCACTTTAGGATTTTCTGGACCTGTGCATGCTTCTTGCCTTTAAAGAATACCACAACACTGTTGTAATCGTCAGTCCAATATGGGTTTTAAGTATAGTAGTCCCGGTTGGTAACTAGACTTGTATAGGAGGGAGGTACGCGCGATCCCGGGAGCTAGTATTGCCATAACCGGACTTAACTGCCTATAACCGCTTATCGATGACCCGAAGACACTTCACGAGTGCCTCGGAGACCCCTCATTGGGGTAAGGTTGCGTCAACCCGCTTAGAACTGTCTTAGCTTTTGATACGCCGGTAGCGCAGCCAGTCAAAGTACTGTGGGAACCCGTTAGTGTCTAGGAACAAGATCGGCTGGTTACTAACTATCAGATCCTTAGCCTGGTGTCTTTGAGCGGACGAGGGACATGTAGTCCAAATAGAAGGTATGCCTAATGACATTTCCAAGCAGCCTAGCCGCTCTAGAGTTGCGCAGGGTCAGACACTATAGTCGGCCTTGTCTTCCACAAAGTGTTTTACCGAGCATGCCGCATGGGTCGCCTGCGTGGTCCATTCGTCAAAGTAATATTGACCTAAATTTCTCCCTTAAAAGGCAGGCTGGCATCGCAATTTCCTGGTGCCACCGCGTGGAAGGTCAGGTAACCGACGCGTCAGTTTGAGAGGGCGTGCGATTGTCAACTTGCTTGAAGTTGAACATTAACAGTTCAACGACGGAGGCGATCCTCAACCATGGTTGCGCTGGAGAACTTCCGGCTAGATGGCAGAACATCACCCCGTGTTATTTTGCAGATCTTTGGTTTCTTCAGAAATTGATCGATAATTTGGAGTAAATCAGTCCATTCGAGACCTGTTGGCTCCCACCGAAATTCGGTATGAATATTCCGGCTGAAGTTCACGTGTCACAGCAGAATAACCGCTTAATATCCATTAACTGCCGACAGGCAGTCGGTAGTATATACGTGGATTGTGCGATAAACCAAAATCGACAACACAGGTACTAGCTAAAGGCCCAGACACGTGTTGCGCTGATATTTTGCCGTTGCATGACAGAGCTGCGAGGGGTTCGGCTCATCAGCGGGTCCTCCAGCGTTCCCTGTATGCTTTCTAGTAGATGTTCCGGTCTTGAAATTGCGTACCTTAAATCCCCTTTGAAAGTGGCCACCAACCTGAAGTAAATCAGTTCGGTTCAGTTTTATTAAGGGAAACAGGCGAGCGCCTTTAAACTCCCTATTGGATACAAAAAGTTTGAGAAAAGCGCTGATAAGTGGCCGTGCAAATTCAAATATATTTTATAGAAACTGCGAATAAAATGCTTTCTTTCAGTCGTTTGATAGAGAATCACGTCTTCTTTATATTTTATACTCGAAGAAGAAGTTTTAAAAAAGCTTTCCAATTTCCGAATAATTTGGAGCCTGATCATTCGTTGCATTATCGCTTAGTGATTTCAGTCTACAAGGTGCATGCGTTTCGCGTAAAGAAAGTCACACATTTTTCCATGCTCTTAAAAAGATATCATGCAGAGTTCATAAAATTTCGCAATGGATGCGGACTATGTTGTACATTTCACGAGGAGCTGTGGTAAACGGCCAGGCACGATGTTATGTGAATGGACATTGCGCGGTCGTAAAAAAATCCCATAAGAAACTTTTTAAAGCCTAATTATACTTCTTCTTCGAGTATAAAATATAAAGAAGACGTGATTCTTTATCAAACGACTGAAAGAAAACATTTTTATTCGCAGTTTCTATAAAATATATTTAAATTTGCAAGGCCGTCGAAAACCTATGGGAAAATGCATGCTACTTAAGTAGTCATTTTTAGCGAGTACGGTTTCTACAGAAAATTGAAAAGCATTACATTCCAAAACTGACATCCTGCCGAGTCTGAAATATCATAGGATTTTGCCGCAATATAATTAGCATTACAACCGCGCCCAAGTAATCGCATTCCAGAATTGCGGCCAACATTTGATGAGATCGGTCACTCACTGTATGTGACTGCGTGGCTTGTAACTGGGACGCTTGATACGCGTCGGTTCTACGCCTAAACAAGTCCACAGAGGAGGAGAGTACAACATCAGTAGGCAGGGCATTCCACGCTGCAACTACCCTGTTACTGAAAAAGAACTTTCGTCCATTGATCCTTGCTTTACCTGCGCGTAGTTTCAGGGGATAACCGCGCAGTGGGCGTGTTACCTTGGGTGAAGTAATCACTGGGATCACTGAGGACTGTTGGCGTCCGACCTGCATCCTTTAGGGCCGCCCAATCAAAAAACTCTGAATACATACAAGAAGGCGTCTAGGAATTCCTATGCTGCGCAGTTTGTGCAAGGGACGTTGACGAGGAACGCTGTCGAAGGCCTTTTTTAAAGTCGATGTAGATGGCGTGCACCGCATTGACTTCGTCGCGTGCTTTGGTCCAACGTTCGAGTGAAAAGAGCAGATTCGTGAGACAGGACCTATCACTTCGGAGGCCGTGTTGGACATCAGAGGAGGTGGTGCTGCTAGAGGAACTGCATCATCGTTTTTTATTATTTCCCCCATGACTTTGCAACAGATTGAGGTGAGAAGCACTGACCTGTAGTCATTCGCAGAAGCACTACTTCCAACCTTAAAAAGCGGGGTGATGGTCGTGGACTTCCAATCGGATGGTAGGCACCCAGTAGTAAATGGCGTTTAGATGAGCAAGGCTAACGGTTTGGACATTTCGGGAGCTAGCCCCTTCCGCAGTTTGGCCGGGATTGCATCAGGGCCTGGGGAGGTTGATTCCTGCAGGTTAAGTAACTCCTTATGAACGATTGCCATGGTGAAGAAGACTGCTTAATTGGTAGGTGTTTCTTCGTCTTCACAAGTGGGTGGGAGAAAATCGGGTTCACTTGTCACGACGGACCGGGAGAACTGACAGAAATGTTCAGACTTATGCTTGTCATCAGTCTACCAGGAAGCTCACAGGGGACGTTAGGGAACCGGACCCCTCGCAGCAGCGGCGAAATATCGGCGAGAAATGTGTCTAGGCCTTCAGCCAGCACATGTGTTGCCAAGTATGGTATATCGTACAACGTATGTTATTCTGTCCTGGGGCTAGGGCATGGATGTCGAATGAGAATAAGTTTTGTCTATCTTCTCCGGCTCATTGTGTTTAAACCAGAAACATGCGCTAACGTGCAAACACATGTCAGGATCAAGCTCGAGTACTCGGGGAACAACGTTGTGACCATTTCCGAAAGCAGTCTAGGACGGTCATCGTCACAGCTAACGGTTTGGCCTGCGCCTTCCCAGTGAGAATTAGTTGTTAAAATTATAGTTCTGGTGCCCGTCTTACAGTTGCGCACACAAAGCGCTACCTCACACGGAAAACGCTGTTTTAACTGTCAACAACGGATAGCGGGTCTGAACACAGAAAGCGTCTCGGGGGTACAAAAACAGATTGGGAAATGAACTTTAACTGTGACTACACGGTATGATTGCATGGCAACAGTCGAAAGCCCGAGCTTATAGGTAACACTGCACAAGTTGATTATTCTTTCAAAGTACTTGTCAAAGTTGACTAAGATATGAGTGTGCTTCCTCTGAAAAAAACTAAGCGGAATTGTTGGAATAATCTTTAATACCTTTTGCAACGTCACACCTGTGGCAATACACCGGTGGACATTTTACTCTCTTTGCCGAAAATGAGAAACCGAGAACAACTGCATGTATTCATATTATTAGATTATTAAGAAAGACTAAAACCTAGTCACAGTACTGGTTCTGCTTCAAAAGTAGAGCGCGCCGTAGGATTTGTCCTGAAAGCGTATTTCGGAGAGGATAGACATTTCGAACAAAAGGAGCTTGACGTCGCTATTCTCGGAGAAAAGAGGTCACCGCGTCGCATAATGGACCGGGCGCGTCTGTGTGGACCCAGTGTCCAGCATTGGGAATTTCGATGCGTTTAGCTCGGGGGAAGAAGTGGCGCACTTCTTTCATGTCTTCCGGTCTTAAAGTGAAAAGACGGTCAAAGGTGGGTATATTGCCTAAAAATGCCAGGAAGTTCAGAAAAGCAGTCAGTTTTGACTGCGCTTCATATAAACGAATGCTCGTAGTCTGTTAAAGATGGACGAAAGGCATGACCCGCGAAGACACCGCAGGGTGTCATCGCTGCAACTGAAACGTGGCTGATTAGTGAAATAGGTTTTGACGGGAGTGGAATTTATTGCAGAGAGCACCCGCATAAGCAAGGAGAAGCTTTAAGTGGAAACAGCAAGGGAATCAAAACTCACGGTTGTAGTTAAGACCGACTGCGAAGCGATTTAAATGAAGGTGAAGATTCTTCAGGAAAGCAGGAATTCCTGACAATTTATGGATCATCTACGCAGACGGAAAATGTCGACCAGTCGCTACTTGAATTGTTCAGGGAAGTAGTTAGAAGTCAAGAGATGGTTATTGCCGGGGTCTTAAGTGGATCCGCAACTAAGCGAAGTACTTTGGCAGTCAATAGCTTAACCAGCTCATTTGCCTTTCAGCCATTTGATCAGACACTTCGGTACCGTCCCATGCAGGTTGTAAGTCCCAGAGTGGACCATAGGGAGACAAAGGCCTAATTGCCTGGATCGTCTGTTTACGAAATACCTCCGCGACATCTACGAAATTCGGTAGAGTGAGACCTCTATCGGGAGCGCCATCGCCTTTAATCATCTAGATGGAATGCATGGAGGGGAAATTTCGATGAGATGATAGCAGGTCTGTCTGCAACTAACTGGAACTGCCGTTATAATGGGGATCCCGATGATGACTCAACTACACTCAGGATGGCTTTGGATTTCGAGCAATGACAC